CACACCCTGCAGCTGTCGCAGGGGGACCGGTGAGGACAGCTGGGGGTCCTCGCTGGGGAGCGAGCTGGAGAGGGGAGCGAGCTGGTCAGGGGTCCCGGAGACCCCCAGCTGAGACCCTCACAGTCTGCGCGCTTCCCACACCACCCTCCCCCTCCTCGTCCGCGGGCACCCAGCAGCCTACTCAGAAAGCTCTCTGTAGCCCATGTTCTGTGATCCTTGTGAGGTGAAAGATGCGAGAACTTTTTCTACCCTTTGGTGTTTGGTGAGGGGCCTTCCCGCCCAGATGAATGTCAGGGTCCCCACCAGCACCCAGGTCCACCTTGAGCACCACTCGGATGCCTGGCATTGACATGCAATCGCTGCTCTCCTGCAGGGACCCACAAAGAGTTAATGCCTCTGGGGCCCAGCCAAGGAAGATTCCAGTTCCTGCCCAGGCCCAAGATAGTTGCTGGCCCGCTCCCCTGGCTGGCCAGGCTGGAGAGGAGGAGGGGCACACCATCCGCCTGCTTGGGATTCCTGAGTGTATCCCAAATGGTGAGGGGAGGGTGCCGTTGGGTGTGGACAGAAATCGGGTGAAACAAGTCCAGGACAAGTCACTGGACAGGTCAGACGTGTTTATATTTCTCTTTTCTTAGCTCAGTGAGTACTGGGTATGTGTCACACTGCCAAATCCCCGATCACAAGTCTCCATGAACAGGGCGGTGAGCTGGGATAATAAAACCCCTGACATCATCATTCCAGAAGCTTCACAAGGCTGAGTATATAAGGGGCTGGCTGTAGCTGCAGCTGAAGGAGCTGACCAGCCAGCTGACCCCTGACACTCACCAGCCACCATGGACATCGCCATCCACCACCCCTGGATCCGCCGCCCCTTCTTTCCTTTCCACTCCCCCAGCCGCCTCTTTGACCAGTTCTTCGGAGAGCACCTGCTGGAGTCTGATCTCTTCCCAACTTCTACTTCCCTGAGCCCCTTCTACCTGCGGCCACCGTCATTCCTGCGGGCACCCAGCTGGATTGACACTGGGCTCTCAGAGGTAAGTCTCTGCTCTACAGGCAGGAGAGTTTCCTGAACCTTCTGGAAACATCTCCATCTGTTCTACTTTTTCCTCTGTCTAAATCTGGCCGTGTGTAAGCGTCTTAGGTCTTTTAGGCCCTTGTGTATCCTGCAGTGAAGAAAGATGAGGTTACTAGACCCTCTCTCCCCCAGTCTCCTGTTTGCCCTTGATGCTGTTCTGTAGCCTGCTTATTACCTTTTTTCCATGTGCTCTAAAGATCATCGTGTGTCCCCTAACTTTTAAGTAGGATGCGCCTTTCTGGTTTGGTTCATAAGGAGCTACAAGGAAAGAGCTGCCTTCAGACTCCTCTGCCTGCCACTTCTAATACCTCATGCTCCTGAAAATTTTTTATCACCTCAAGTTTCAGAGCGAGGAGACAGCCCTACCATATTCTGAGCTTTTCACCCCCGCTGTGTGGAGCTGGAGACAGCAACCACTATTTCTTTCCTTATTTCCCCTTCTAAGATTTTCCCTGTTTCTCAGGGCTATGACAGGGCACTGGCCTGGGTCCAAGCCTAAGAAGGAAAGAACGTAGATCCACTCTTGGGAACCCCACTTGTCCTAAGAGGGTGCGAGAATGAGGTGATCGTATAAGGTTGACAGAGCTGTCACAGATAACACTATGTTTTAAAAATATCCTAGTGTGAGTAAACAGGAGCTGAGTGTGCAAGGGCTTTGGAAGGACAATCAGGGCCAGCAGAACATTCCAGATTGAGTGGGTGGGAAAGTTGGCAGAGACCTGAGCAAGAAGAAGGGGCCTTTGTCTCACAGACAAATGACAAGGCGAGGCCTTGGGGGTCAGAGAGGCAGCAGAAGCCATGCCCAGACCCGTCCTTGTGATTGGTCTCTTGGGTGGCCTGTCTTCTTGCCTGACCCTGTAGATAAAGTTTGGGCCTGATGACAGGTGGTGTGTCTTTGTACCACTATGGTGGCTCCCCTGAACCAGAGAGCTATGTTTATTCAAAAAGGGATTTTTAGCCAAAAAGAGGAAGATAAACTACCTGGCAAGAAAGCAAGTCTGCAGAATGAGGCAGCACTAGTAATACACTTTCTGACCATTTTTTCTCCTGCCTCTTTCTCCCACCTTGTTATTTCTAGATGCGTCTGGAGAAAGACAGATTCTCTGTCAACCTGGACGTGAAGCACTTCTCCCCAGAAGAACTCAAGGTCAAGGTGCTGGGAGATGTGATTGAGGTGCATGGCAAACACGAAGAGCGCCAGGTACGTAGCGTGTTTTCTGTTCATTCATTCAGTGCATATTATGTGCCAGACACTGCCATCAGCCTCTGAGGCTGGCAACATTCCAGTCCTGAGCCATTAGGGTCTGGAAACAGGGGTAGACCTAGTATTGTTACTGTTTTGGCAAGGGAAGAGATCTTTGTTGTTTGTTTGTTTGTTTTAATTTGACTTGATTGCCTTAGATGGGATGTTCATTTCCCATTTAAGCCAGTGGTTCTTAACCTTGGGCACATTAGAATCACAAGGAGAATTTTAAATAATCCCTGTGCTGAGGCATATCTCAGACCAACTAAATCAGAATTTTTAGGGATGGGACACAGGCATCAGCATTTTTAAAAGCTCCCCAGGTAATTGTAATGTACAGTCAAGGTTGAGGAGCACTGATTTAGGCTTAGAGCTTATCAGACACCTGGTTGCTTTGTGTAATCACATTAACTGCATGCACCCCGAAGGCCCCTGAGTTTGGGACTTTTCAGTGCTCAGGAATCCTCTTCCCCTTAGGCCATCTTAGTGTTGAACTACTTGGTTTGCCCAAGTTTCAGAGCTGTACTCAGCTCCTACTACCCTGGAGCACAGGTGGAAATCTGTTGAGAGCCTGTCGGGACAAATGCTTGAGATTCAGCAGGTATAAGGGTTATGGTCAGCTACTTTCTAGCAGAATTCTGAAGAATGGAAAGCTTCTCATTACTTTCCAGGAGGGTGTTTTAATGAGTTTGCTTCTTACCAATTAGTGATAACTTAGAACCTTGTGAATCAAACAGTACAGTTGGAGGTCCTCAGACTGTTTCCATTTTGTGTATATGATTTAAGCTTGAGTCACAGTCTCTCTGGATGGAGTGGTTTTTTTGTTTTTCTTTTTAAATAGCAGCAGTCCTTTTGGTCTGGGACTTTCTGGGACATTCCTAAAGAGTCAGGACAATATCTGAGCTTCCTCAGGAACTTAGATCTTCAATGCCAGATGAAGGCCTAACAAACAAACATTTATCTAAACCTTTGAGAAATATCTCTAAACATTTCCATGCCTCAGGGTATGGAGAGCTGTGAGGCTTTGCCTGTTTCAGATTCCTCAGATTCTCATTGGTAGGAGTGACCGCCTAGACAACTTCATCTTAGCCCCAAACAAAAGTTTCCTCTCGTGTTGCCATGGCATTTGTTCACACCTAAGGGGAAAGAGGATGTCTGAATTCTAAGCAAGTGGTGCTTTTTTCCTGTTCTTATCTCTCTGCCTCTTTCCTTGTTCTCTTGGATTAGGATGAACACGGTTTCGTTTCCCGGGAGTTCCACAGGAAATACCGGATCCCAGCGGATGTGGACCCTCTCGCCATTACCTCATCCCTGTCATCTGATGGGGTCCTCAGTGTGAATGGACCAAGGAAACAGGCCTCTGGCCCTGAGCGCACCATTCCCATCACTCGTGAAGCGAAGCCTGCTGTCACTGCGGCCCCCAAGAAGTAGATGCCCTCTCTCTAATTGCATTTTTTAAAACAAGAAAGTGTCCCCACCGGTGAATAAAACTCTTGTGACTAGTGCTGAAGCTTATTAATGTGAAGGGCAGGCCCAAATTATTAAGCTAATAAAATGTCATTCAGCAACAGATAACTGCCTTGTGCTTGAATGTTCATGTGGTGTGTTTTTAATCGGACAAATACAGTAGATCCATTTAATCATCACATTATGATCTAAGGGGCTCTAGGGACATTAGAGTCAGAATGACTGTCTTCATCATTTACTAATGGTATAAATTTAGCAAGTCACTTAACCTTCCTGGTCTTTAGATCTTCCATTTATAACAGGGGTTACTGAACTGTACATTTTTGTAAGGAGAAAAAGTAAGTAAGGCCCTTGGCAGAGTTCAAGGAATATCAGTTCCTCTCCTCCCTCTTTGATTTTGGCCCTCAGTTCCCACAACAAATCGGGATGGAGTCTGCATAACAATGCATAAAAGGCCTTAGTACATCTCTGCAATTAATCATGTCCCCAGGGAGGAGAGATGGTGTACCCAAAGTTATTTGACATTTTCCTACTGATAAGCATTGCCTTCAGCTGATTCACAAAGTCAATAAATAGTACTCTGGTGAGATTAGCACCAAACAAGCCTCTCAGGTGTAATCCTGTTATCTGGTAAATACCTATTAAAGCTAAGACTGGAAAATTGCCAGTTCAATGCCACACCATAAAAAAGTTAAGTTGTAGAATTATAATGAATAATCAATAAGTGAATCTATTATTTAGTTTAAACAAAGACATATTACTCTACAAAAACATCCTCATTTCACTTTTGTGAGCCTAGACAACACTTCTGATTCAATTAATGAAAAATAGTTCTGTGTACGTTACCTGGCATAAACGCTTTTCCTTCTTTCTTTCTCTACTTTTGGGCTCATTGCTCCCTACTCCTTGGTACTTTTGTGCTTGCCTCCATTTCATTTTCTACATCCCTCTGCAGTTCTAAACCAGGTTTTATAATAAGAGTGGGGCTGCTCTCCTGTCATCATGTTGGTTACTATCATGGAGCCACAGGATAGCTTATATAAATTTGTAATCACAGCGCTATGTCTGGGTCTTCCCACCTCACTAAGCCCAGAGTTTCTATTCAACAAAGCCCCCCAGAAGTTTGATGGACAGGATTTTTCCAGATTTTCTTCACAAATGGGAAAATCCCATCATAGCCTCCTGGCTTTAAGCAATGAGCTGGTTTCTCCTCCCATCTTGGATTGAGCACTTTTAGTACCTTTACCCTGTAGAGGTGAAACTCTTAGCTGCCACTGTCTGCTTCTAGACCTAGAGGCCACTATGCCCATTCTCCTGAATTTTATTTCTATTTATTTAAATATTTTGGTATTTATTTTGTCCATATTTTTATTTATCTTTTCTACTTTATAAACTTCTGCCAACTGCTGTGTTAGAAACAGATGGATTGCATCAAACATGAACTTACTGTTCTATCTTGTGAAAAAGCCTGTGCCCTGTTTACTCCTTGACCTACTGCTTTCCCAAAACTATTTATGACAGTGAAAGGTTTGCTAAATCTCATGGGCATTTCTGATAACTCATTTGACTACCTACCTCTTCCTTCCTTAAACCTCAGTCTCTTGTTCTCTGTGACATTGTGCTAAACACGGTTTTCTCCCACCTTCTGACCACTTCTGTTTTGCAAGCTCCTCTTTCTCTGCCAATCATTCAAGTTTGCCTTTCCAATAATTCTGTTGTTGGCCTTTCCATGCCCCTCTTTTTGATAAGCCTAGATTATACTATCAACTCCCATACCTTCAACTCTCACCTATGTGCTTCCATATTCTAACTTTATACTCCCATCTCAGATGTGTCTCCCCAGAACTAAAATTACATGTCCAGCTACTTATTAAGTACTTCTGTTTGAATTCCCAAAGGCCCACAAACTCAACATACCTACAACTGGATTCATAATTTTCAGTCTCAATTCTTTCCCTCCTAATCTATTCTATATCTTGGTGAATTCCATAATTCTCTTTTATGTATCTTAACCATTTATTCTTTTTGTTGTTGTTGTTAATCCTTACTCGAGGATATTTTTTCCAGTTATTTTTAGAGAGAGTGGAAGGGAGGGAGGAGGGCAGAGAGAGAAAAGGAGAGAGAGAGAAAGAAACATTGATGTGAAAGAGACACATTAATTGGTTGCCTCCCGCACGAGCCCCGACCCAGGCTAGGGATCGAACCTGAAACCAGGTACATCCCCTTGACAGGGAATCAAACTTGAGACCCTTCAGTGCGCAGGCCGATGTTCTGACCACTGAGAACAGTGACCACGGTTCATTCTTGTTTCTAATACTGTATGTTATATAAATTCACGCAGTTGTCAAAACCAGAAATCAAGGAATTATTTGACCTATTTTGAAAACCATCACAGGCAACAATAAATAGAAAAATGAAGGAATAAGTTCATTTGAAAAGAGCAATAAATATTAAATAAGAAGCAGAAATTTAAAGAACATATAGCTATGAAGAGGAACCTTTTAAATACATTAGAAATTAGTTGATGTTATAAATGCTAAAAAGGACACAGCTGCATATTTACAAGTTTAAAATAGCTGAGGAATTCTTTCAGAATGCAGCAAGTTGGGGGGAAAGGGTATAAAAAATCAGAACAGTTAAGGTATATGAAGGAAAGAGTGAGAGACTCCAGTATGTATCCAAATGGGCATTTTATAAGAATTAATGGAAAAATGGTAAAGCATTATTAGAAGAGATTTTCCAGAACTGAAGGTAGATGTGAGTCCTCATACTGGGCAGGATAAATAAAACTAAATATGCTCCTAAAAGTATCACTGCGAAAATTCAAAACAACGACTATGTGTCAGGAACCAGCCTGAAAGCAGAACAAACCTGAGTTCAAGGGGTGGGAATTAAAGAGACAAAGTTATGGGATCAGGAGGGCTGCCCTCCAATGAGGTGCAGCCTCAAATGGCTTCAACGCCTTTATTATATAGTGAGTAACAAACAACTGGTAAGGAAGGGAGGGTGATACAAAGCAGTTCTTTCAATGCTGCACAAACACACTTTCAGCGGAACACCCTGCCTCCTGCATGAGCTCAGACCTTGGTAACCATCTTCATTTCGGCTCCCACAGGAACCTGCCAGGAGGGTTGAGTCCTTGGCTCCAGGCCCTCATGCAGAGAAAATCTTGAAATATATGAGGTCAAAAAGATATATTAATTACAAATGAATTACAACTAGACTAACAGCTGACATCTCAGCATCAATAAAGATCAAAAGATAATGGAATAATGGCTGGTTGGGTAGGAATAGTTTTAGTTATCACTCAAAGTAAAATGTTCCAGGAATGGCAAGGATGTCGATACTGAAAAAAATTTTCTCAATGTAATTTATTACATTAATAGAGTATGAGAAAATAAATCTTATGGTTTATATCAAATTAAGTATGAGCCAGCCCTCTTATTTACAGTGGGGTGGGGGAAATCCTTGTCCCGTTAATAATCCACTAATACTAGGGAGTTTCCTTAACTTGGTTAACATTATATAACAAAAATATAAAGCAATTATTATACTTACCAAAGAAAATTTCAACATATCACTTTTACTATCCTGAGCAAGACAAGGGTGCTCACTATCACTCCTAATATTTAACTTGGTATGAAAAGTTCTGGCTGATGCCATAAAAGAAGAAAAATAAGATGTAAGAATTTGAAGAGATGAAACTACCATTATTTGTAAATTATGTAATCATCTGCCAAAACAACTCCCACAGAATCAACACAAACTATTAGAACTAATAATAGTGTTCAGTGCGTTTGTAGGATATAATCTTAGTTTATAGAATATTGTTCTATTTATCTATTCCTGCATATTAAATTATCCCAAAATTTAGTAGCTTAAAACAACAGTCATTTTACTAGATCTTACTATTTGTAGCACAGAGGCAATTCTTCAGCTCCTCACTTGGTGGTATTCAACTGGTGGATAGTCTAGTCTGTAGGCTTTAAGATGACTTAACTCTCATTCCTGACTTCTCCAAAGACAGCATCCAAATAGCCAATAATCACATGAAAGCTGCTCCAGAACACTAGCCATTAGGGAAATGCAAGTTAAAACCACACTGCGATTGCATTTTACACCCACTTGGATGGCTATTATAGAGCAAAAACAAAACAGAACGTAAGTGTTGGTAAAGACCAGGAGAAATTGGAAAACTTGTGCATTGCTAGTAAGAATGTAAAAAAAGTGCAGCCACTATGGAAAACAATTTGGGATTTCCCTATTGTTAAACATAGATTTACAATACGAGCAGCAATACTTCGGGGTATATACCCAAATGAATTGAAAGCAGGAACTCAAACAAATATTTTACGCTAATGTTCATTGCAGCATTGCTCACAGTAGCCAAAAGGTGAAAACAACCCAAGTGTCCATCAACAGATGGAGAAGCAAAATGTGGTATATACATAGAATGGGCTATTAGTCTTAAAAAGTACACATCCTACAACATGGATGAACCCTGAAAATATGTTAAGTGAAATAAACCAGACACAGAAAGACAAATATCTGATTCCACTTATATAAGGTACATAGAATAGGCAAATTCATAGAGACAGGAAATAGAATAGAGGTTACCAGGAAGAGAGCGGAATAAGGAATTATTGCTTAATTGGGACAGAGTTTCAGTTTATGATGATGAAAAAGTTCTGGAAATGGATAGTGGAGATGGTAGCACACATTGTGAATGCACTTAACATCACTGAATTGTATACTTAAAAATAATTAAAATGATATCTCTGGCCAGTGTGGCTCAGTTGGTTGGGCACAGTCCCATGCTCCGAAAGGTTGCCGGTTTGATTCCCAGTCAGGGCACATGCCTGGGTTTCAAGCTCCATCTCTGATGGGGGCCATACAGGAGGCAGCAGACCGATGTTTTGCTTTCACATTGATGTTTCTCTCTCTCTCCCTCCCCTTCCTCTCTCTCTAAAAATCAGTTAAAAATCTTTAAAAAAATAGTTAACATGATAAATTGTATGTTACATTTTACCACACTGTGCTGGATACATAGGGAATAAAATAAGATATACAACATACAAACTTAAACTGTAAGTTTATAAAATAGTACTCATATTGCAAGAGCAC